GGAGAGGGAGAGGGAGAGGGAGAGGGAGAGGGAGAGGGAGAGGGAGAGGGAGAGGGAGAGGGAGAGGGAGAGGGACCTTGTTGTTGTGCTCGAAGCGGAAGGCATAGTCAAAGTCAACCCAGTTGATGGAGGCTTGCTCGATGCGAGGGGGGACGTGGTTTCCCCGCAAGAAGTCGCGGACTTGCTGAAGTATCCTCCCCTTGCTCCTCGTGAACCTGACGAGCCGTGAGAGGAGGATGGGAAGGGAGGAGATGAGGAGATGGAAGGAGGGGGGAGAAGAGGACGAGGAAGAGGAGGACGAGGACGAGGAGGAAGAGGAAGAGGAGCAGGAGCAGGAGCAGGAGCAGGAGCAGGAGGACCTTCGGAGCTGCGACACAGCAGCCTCAACCTCAGAGAGGAGGGTACCGAAGACGATGGTGCCGAGGTACATGGCGAACACGCAGAAGATTCGCTCCTCGGAGTTGTCGGGCGCGACGTCGCCGAACCCAACGGTGGAGAAGATGGTGTTGATGAAGTAGGTAGCGAGGACGTACTGGTGAAACAGATCTCCTGCTTCGACCCCCGAGCCCTCGCTGAAGAGGCTCAGGAACCAGGCGTCTGTCTCCTCCCGGCTGTGCGTCAGCTCCTTGACCAGCCAGTAGGTGCATGCGGTCATGTGGACGACGTAGACGACGATGCAGAAGACTCGGAGCATGCGGAACATGAAGGGAGGGAGATTGAGATACGACTCGATGCGGTCCAGGATCGCCAGGATCTTCATGGCCTTGATCACTCGCAGCAGTTTGAACAGCCGCAGCGGCTTCACCACTCGCACCACCCGCAGGCTGGACTTGGACCCTCCACCTCCCTCTTCGCACTTGCGGAGCGTGAAGAACTCAACCCACGAGACGGGGATGGAGGTGATGACATCGAAGCAGAACGACCCGCGCAGGTAGGAGGAGGCGACGGTCGAGGCGTCGTCACAGTAGCGGCCCTTGACCATGGCGCCGCAGAAGAAGGTGAAGGCAATCTCGAGGAGGAAGAACACGTCGACGAGCATGTCGAACTCTAGGGTGGGGGAGCGGAAGCAGTCCGTGTGCCAGTAGAAGCCGACGATGACGGGCGTCACGATGGCAGAGTAGATGAGGAGCAGGGCAGAGAGAAGGGCGACCCCTTGAGCGAACAGCGACTCCGGGTGTACCATGCGGGAGCCGGGGATGCCGAGGAGTTTGGGTCCGATGCCGAAGATTCTTCGCTTCCATCCCATGGCCCTTCGCACTTCACCTTTGTACCTCACCTCCAGTAGCTTGTTGGAGCGGAACTGCGGGGAGGCCTCGAGCGACGTCATCGACCCGACGGTGGCGGAGGACTCGAGACGCTGTCGCGCCTGCTTTTGAGCAGAGAGCAGCATCTTGTTCCTCCCCTTCATCGTTGCGACCTGCCTCTGATCCCAGCGAGCGCGTCGACCCTCCCTGCCTGTCAGGAGTAGCTGCTGCAAGCAGACCGGGAGAGCCGCTCGGCGACGGCCTGAGCGCAAGCCAGCTCCTGCTGAAGTGAGAAGAGGGTCAGGAGACGGCAGACGATTTCCTCTGCGATCTGATAGCTCCTTCTCTACTACCTATACACTACCCCCCACGACCTCCTCTCCTTGCCCTACCTCTCTCCTGCATCTCCGTCCTTGACTTCCTCGGTCCTACTCACTGTGCCTTCTTCGCGTCCTTCTTCGCGTCCTCCCTCTCCCTCTCCCTCTGCCTCTGCATCTGCCTCTCCCTCTCCATCTCCCTCTCCCTCTGCCTCTCCCTCTGCCTCCCTCCCTCCCTCCTTCCCTCTCCCTCCCTTTCTCCCTCTCTCTCCCTCTCTCCCTCGCTCCCTCTCCTTCTCTTCTCCCCCTATCATCGCAGGTACGCCGCCTGTCATTTTCTTCTTTCGCCTTCCCCTCATCCCCCCGCAGGTCAAACTTTTTGAGACCCATAAGTTGACACCGTCCGGTCTCGGACGGCGTGACCGTTACTAAGCCGTTACTGTCGACTCTGAGCGACACCGGGGACGGTCCGAGTCCGGGAGTCCGGCACTGGCTTGCCAGTGTACTACTCCGTCCCGGATCGGGATTCAAATTAGTCACCTGGTGAGCCAGCCAGTGGCGTCACGTATGTCGGCCGGCCGCCCCGGCGGGCCGCCCGAGGCCCGGTCCCGGCGACTCGGCGATCAACGGCGGTACGGTCCAGTCGGACCGGCGTCCGGCGCCGCCGGGTCCGGCGACCAGCCTGTGTCAGTATCGCTACCGGCGTGCCCGGCCACGGGGTGAGCTACTACAGCCTGTCCGACAGGCCGCGGGCAAGTCCCCCCGCCCCGGCGCCGGGCGACTGGGCGGCCCCCGGCGGCCGGCCCCCGCGGCCCGGACTCCTGGAAGCCCGGGACTCTGAGGCAGCCTCGCAAAAAAGGGGTCAGACACCCTGCCACAGCGGGCCAATGGGGTCCTAACTGTATTTCAAGTACCGGTACATTTTCAGGAGAAATGAGGGGTACCATATATGGGTGGGTCCTCGTCACATGATTACTACCGGTGATGTTCACGGTACTTACAGGGGTACAAGAATGTAGTTGAAGGGTGGGGTGGAGGCCGTCATAGGATCAGGACAACAGAGGGGTGGGGTACTGAAACAATGTTTTGATAGGGGTGGGGTACTCGTGAAACATGTGGGTGGGGGTACATAAATTGGGGTAGGGTCTGATTGTCATTCAATTATAAGGGGGTGGTATAACTCAAAATCAGGGGTTATGTGTCCTGGTACCGGAGGGTCTCATCCGAAGGGGTAGGGTGATAAGGGGAAGAAGGGGTGGGGTGGTAAACGTGTAAGTTTAGGAGAAGCGTCGTCGTCGTTTGCCATCGCCATGCTCCGTGCTACCGTCGCTGCCGCCGTCGTTGCCTCCGCCGCTGCCTTCAGCCCAGCCCCCCAGGTGAGATGCGAAGGATGAGATCAGGAAGAGGACGATGAGAGGAGCAGGAGACAAGTGGAGGAGCCAGTCCCTTGCTCTCGTTCATCAGACGTTCTATTAGAACGAAGTGAAAAGAATTCATGTGACAGTAGAGGGGAGTAAGGATGGTTGAGAGACATGAAGTGAAGTGAAGCGAGAAGTGAGGAGACGGAAAGAAGGATGGCAAGAGCAGGTGTCCCGATGATAGACCTAGGCTTCTCGCTGCTGTAGCTAGGGAAAGACTTGTTCATGGCTGAGGGTTGAACTGAATCTGCTGTCGAAAGAGAGTGCTGGTGTCAGATTCTAGTTCTATTTTGATGGTTTTGTTCCTTCTTGTTGTCTGATTCATGCAAAGATAATCTCAATGCATTTGAACATGCATGCTCGAAAGTCTATTTGAAAGTTTGTCCTCTTTTTTGCATGCTCGAAAGTCTATTTGAAAGTTTGTCCTCTTTGTTTTGTCCTCTTTGTTTATCTGCCACATTGTAGTGAGTGGGAGAGCCCATGGATCTTGCCGGACACTCTTGCTAACATTCTCTTCCTCGGTAGATGGGGCTGCGCGGCGTCGCCATGCAGGCCGAGTCTGTCTCCCGCCGTGAGATCGTCCAGGCCGGAGCTGCCGCTGCTGCTCTCTTCACCGCTGCCCCCGTTTTTGCCCAGCCCGCTCCTGGTATCGGGTATGCGCAGAAGAAGCGTGAGGTCGAGATGAAGAACAAGAACTTCGCCCCTGTGGTCAGTGGATCTCTTGCTCATCAAGTCTTTCCTCCTCCTTGGCCTCTTCTCTGCCTATTCCTCCCTCTTTCTGCTTCTGCTCCCTCCCTTCCACTCCAGCACCTGACTCGCTCTCCTTTTCAGATCACCGTCTTCGATCACCGTGGCTGCGCCGAGCACGTGAACAAGGAGTACACTGGCCCCAAGTCCAACGACGAGAACGATGAGATGCTCGTCAAGGTCAAGCAGGTGAAGCAGCGGAGGTTCTATCGCCTCCTTCTGACGAGCGTATGCAGACCAAGCTCAGACGTGACGACCCGAAGTTCGTCGAGCTCGCTGATCGCATCGTCCAGGTAGGAGGGAGAGGCGGGTGATATACCGCAGGGTCTGACGGGGAGAGCAGGAGACCAAGGGAACCTTCTACCAGTACCCCATCCGCGACGTCGGATACAGCAAGTAAAGTGCAACAATTCATTACATGAGCTTCAACAATGACATTAACTCCTCCTCCTCCTCTCATCCCCTTCCGCCCTCTCCCTCCCTCTCTTCGCACTTGCCTCTCATCCTGCTGATCCCCCACCCGCTCCCTCAACTTTCCCCCTCCTTCCGTTTCCACTCTCCTGAGTCTTGCTGCTTCTTTCTCACGTTTCTTGCCGCTCAATCAGTCCCATCCCCACCTCCTCCTCTTCATCTTTCTCGTTGATCATCACAAGGGAGACGCTTCCTCCTCTAGCGCTCTCCCTATCACCGTCTCCTGCACATTGAGGTCTCCGTCCATCGGCGTAGCAGCGACGAGACTGCAGAGAGAAAGGGCGGGGGCAGCAGCAGCAGCAGCAGCAGCAGCAGAGGAAGGGTCAGTAGAGACAGTCTACTGGGGAGGAGAGGAGAAGGTACCGGTGAGCTACGACGGGCCCGAAGAAACCAGCAATGAGAGCAGGAGTGCAGAAGTCATCCTCCGACGAGTCTGCGGCATGTCAAGAGCAGAGGAGGAGGAGGAGGAGGAGGAGGAGGAAGAAGAGGAGGAGGAAATTGAAGAGGAGGAGGAGGAGGAGGAGGTGGTGGGGTGGTGGTGGTGGTGGAGTACCGTGAGCAGATTCAGAGCAGCAGGTGCTCGCCAGTCTCGCAGCGATCTTGCTTCACTGTTAGCTCACACGAAAGACCCTTCTCTTCCTTTCCTCTAGCTTCTCCCCCGCCCCATCCCCACTGCCACCCTTCCTCCTCCCTCTCCCCATCCTCGTCCTCGTCCTCGTCCTCGTCCTCGTCCTCGTCCTGCCCCTACCCCTGCTCTTCCTCATCCCCCTGCATACCTCTAGCATGCTCGTCGCTTTCGGTGAGAGAGGACGAGAAAGCTGGTGGTTCCCTCGCACGTTTTGAACCTGATGGAACATGAGACTCTGCGAGTTTCTGCGGCTGCTCCTCCTCCCTCCTCCTCCTCCTGCCTCCTCCTGTCTCCTCCTCCTGCCTCCTCCTGCCTCCCACTTTTCCTCTTTCCCCCTCGTCCTCCTCCATCCGTTCTTGCTCCCTCGTGCTCCTCCTCGAGCTGCCGATTGCCTGCTCTTGTCTCATCCCTTCCTCCGCTTCCTCGCACCAGGTCGCGGATGTAGCGGAGGAGAGAAGGATCGAGGAAGGCTCTTTCTGTTCTCTCCCGCAGCCGGAGTAGCAGCTGCAGCCAACAGTCATCCCGAGCTGGAGGATCAGGTGGGGCTGACCGAGGAGGAGAAGATTCTTGCGCTGGCTACAAAGTCGAGGAGGGCGAGGTCTGCTGCGAGCTGGCGGTAGGATCAGGAGGAGAAGGAGCAGGAGGAGCAGCAGAAGGAGAAGGAGGAGAAGGAGAAGCAGAAGCAGAAGCAGAAGCAGAAGCAGAAGGAGCAAGAGGAAGAGGACGAGGACGATGGGGTAGGGGAGGGGGTAGGAGGAAGGGAAGCAGGAGGAAGGCAGTTCAACCTTGAGATGCTGAAGTGTGAGTGAGAACAAGACCTCATCTCTCGTCTGAACCCTCAGCTGCTCCCACGAGTATCTCGTGATGAGGAGGAAGCAGACGTTGCGACCTGGCAAGAGGTCAGGCAGCACGCGAGCCGCAGGTCCTCCTACCGGAACAAGGAGGGAGAAGGAGGGGAGAGGAGAAGAAAGTAATGCCGCAACTCCTTTTAGACGGCTGTAGCAACTCCCAGGCGATCTGAAGGGAAAATAAAACGAGGAGGAGGAGGAGGAGGAGGATGAGGAGGAGGTGCACGAGGGAGGAGGAGAGGGGGAGAAGGAAAACGAAAGGCAAGAGGACGAGCAGGAGGAGCGGACGAAGTGAGAGGGTAGGAGTGGAGGGACGAGGAGGGCTGGCGGTTTGACCTGCGTCTCAACTTGCAGCCGCTGGAAGTCTGACATGACGACGAGACGGAAGTTGCGAGGAGGAGCAGGAGAGAGAGGAGCAGGAGAGTTCGTATCCAAGGAGATCTCAGCATCCTCGAGCCGGCCTGACAGAGCCCGTCAGTCCAGCACCCATAAGCCGCCAGGAGCACCGTGAATGTCCTGAGCCCTCGTGTCCCTGGTGCACCTGCCAATAGATCACCAACTCTCCTTCTCCTCCTCCTCCTCCTCCTCCTCCTCCTCCTCCTCTCCCTCCCTCCTCCCCTCCTCCCCTCCTCCTCTTGCCCTCCTGCTCCCTCGCCCGCCTCAATCTCCTGCTACTCCTGTGTTCTGCTCCTGCTACTCTCCTTCCCCCCTAACCTGATGTGCTCAACTTCAACTTCGAAGACGCTGCGGAAGACTTTGACCAGCTGTGCAAGAACCTCGTCCGATGGCTCGTGCTCGACCTGCGAGTCAACAAGATTGACAAGGACGTTTCCCCCGCCCACGATCGCCATGAGCACTGACAAGGGCAGGCAGTGAGCGAGGAAAGAGAGGGAGGAGTGGGGAAGGGGAGGGGAAGAGGAGCTGAGCGTAAGGGAGGGAGAAAGAGAGAGGGAGAGAGGGGAAGGGGGAGGGGGGGAGGGAGAGAGGGAGAGAGGGGAGGAGCGATGGCGGTGGCATCAGTGGTGGAGGAGGGAGGGATGGGTCGGTTATTCACGTGCAGCCAGGAGATCTTCAAGGTTGTTGTTGAGTGACTGCTGACAAGTTTGAGTTGAGATGCATCATCATCATCATCATCATTATCTCCATCATCATCTCCATCACCTCCATCATCATCATCATCATTTAACCTCCATCATCATCACCTCCATCATCATCAT